AAATTGTTTTTATTTCTTAAATTTAAAATAGAAGCATTTTCTTTACAAATGATTAAAATAATATTTAATTCAATTATTTATCTATATAATTAACGTTTGTTCGATAATTATTAATGTATAAGGTTTAGAAGTTTCAAAATTTGTTAAAATGTTACAAGAAAATTTTTACACAATTCAAAATATTGTATTCATTATAAAGTTCTAGATTTTTATTTATAAATTAATATTTCAGAAATAAAGATGAAATTTGTGAAATTATATTAAAATAAAACAATATTTTAATTGTGAAAAGAATGGATTATTTTCAATTGGTATTTAATTTGATTTTCTAAAGTATTAATGGAATATTTCATATAATAAATTATCATATATGATACATGATCAATTCAAATAATAATTAACAAAAATAATTATTTGTATTCGGTTCCTGAATATATAATTTAAAATATTTCTATTTTCAATTATAATTAAATCGTATCTTTATTCTAAACTATTATATTTCAGAAAAGATATAAAGATCTATTTTATATATAAATAAAAATACAAGAGTTATTACAGTTTATTACATTGTACTTACAATTTTTTAAATACTTAAATTTACACAATTTAAGGAAGAACATTAAATATTTATTAAGTAAATAGTTTTATTCATATATTTTATTTTAAAAATTGAAACAATGATTTAAGTAGAGTTATTGAAGCAGAGCGAGTGTTCGTGCACTCGCGTGTGCGTTTAAAAATAAATTAGGAAAAATTCATAAAAATACCTTATTAAATGAGATTCTTTTTAAATATGCATTGAATAGAAACCATATAATAAAAAATAACATATTTAAAAGTTATTTCATTTTTTAACCAATAATAATTAATAAAAAATACATTTATAATTTATCACAATTCCTCTACTAATTTTTATAACAATTATTTTAATTTATATTATCAATAAGAATGAAAATGTATTTTTTATATATTTTCTTTTAAAATTAAGAAATTTATTTTAAGTTTAACTCGTGATTTTGACAAATACATTTATCACGAAGATGTGTATGCTGTTTTAGTTTAAAAACTTTTAATTTACAATTAATTCTAATTTTTTTAAATATCTATATACAGGTGAGCTCACGTTTGGGGATGCGCAAGGACTTGTGTGTTAGCTGCGATCTTCCG